TTGAACTTGATTAAACTAAAAAAATGTCTTCAACAGTTAATACTGACACTTCTGGAGGCCTATAAGTGATATTGTTGCATGTTTCTTTCAGCATATATGTTGTCAGCATTGCTCAAGAGCAGCAGCTGGAGGCCCCGTCATCTTCAGGCTGTCAGTCATCCGCTGTTATGAAGGTGGAGGGTCATTGGCGCCACCTTATCAGATCAGAATCTGACTTTGTATTAGTAAGTGTTCTGACACCAAACTCCTTGAGGGCTTCTTCTTATTACAAGCCTTTTTTCTTGCACGACCCAATAATGTGCACACTACCGTTCAGAAGTTTGGGGTATGTAAAGTTTTTAACGTTTTTTTTTAACTAGGAAATATAATTTAAAATAACTATTTTTTTATTTTAATATATATTAAAATGCCGTTTATTCCTGTGATTGCAAAGCTGAATTTTCAGCATCATTACTTCAGTCTTCAGTGTCATATGATCCTTCAGAAATCATTCTAATATGCTGATTTAATGCTCAAGAAACATACATCAATGTAAAAAAAAAAAAAAAAAAAATTTTTTGTGGAAACCATGATATATTTAGTTTGTTTGACAGTGTTTTAGTGCCATTATCTGCCATATTAAAAATGTATCAGATTAAATTAGATTAAAGTCATAATGTTTTGAGAAAAAAGTAAATTACGAGAAAGTCAGCAATACGAGAATAAAGTCGAAATATTTCGAGAATAAAGTCAAAATATTTTGAGAAAAAAAGTCATAATTACGAGAATTAAGTCATACAATTACGAGATTAAAGTTATAATATTTTGAGTTTAGCCTATAGAAAGTTTAAATGAACAGATTTATTTAAAAAATAATCTTTTGTAACATTTTGAGTCAATAAAAGAGTCTTATCCTTTTGATCAATTTAATTCAATGTAATTTTTTAATCCTTGGTGAATAAAAGTATTAATTTCTGTTAAAGAAAAATCTTACTGACCCAAAACCTTTTGATAACGCATTCTTGCATTCTGATAAAAAAAGAAAAGAAAAAAAGATTTAATGTAAAAAGTGAAGATTCAGAAGACTGAGTTTTTGGTTATTATTTATTTGCCCAGTGCATTTAATGATTGTTCCTCTGAAGGAGACAGAAACTCACAACTATTGTACTTTTTTGTGTTTTTGGCACTGGGCACACATCAGCCACTTTTACATTGTGTGTTGTAAACTAAAAAACTTACACAAACAAAAGGGTGCTGTTCCTCTCACTGGAGGTCTCTTAGTGAGACAAAGCACATGCATTTGCCCACTCACAACACCAAACACACAGACATGCAGGGGATTGATCACTCAGACCAGCATTGCTGTGTCAACGCATCCAGTCGCCTGGCAACATGTTGAAAGGAGTGAAGTGCATTGACGGGACACAATAGTCCTGGCCAGTGCTTGCTGGCTGATGTTTTATGGCTGACCAAACAGTCCTTGCCGCTCTTGCTCCACTCCAAAAACTTGAGAGTGTTTACTCACAATACTTTCTTTGAAATCATTTTGTGATCCGGCATCTTTTCAGATGGAGACTGATTTAGGTCTGCAAACATTGATAATAAAATGTGTTTTACAGCCTGTAAAAGATTATATAATGTTTTAGATTGCTTTGACAATATTTACCTTTAGTATTTTGCTTTTTAGTTTATACTAAAAAGTCCAGAAAAATCTTCAGTCCAGTGGTCAATGGATGACCATTTAACTGCTGGGAGCTGTTGTTTCTTGAGCTAATATTGGCAGTCCCACCCAGTGGTGTAATTTGTCTCACAGTCTCTGCTTAGGAGCATGAATTAAATGTTGACACAGTGATTTCATGCACACACAGGCGTTTGTCTGCATGGGTCGAGCAGAGAGTCTCCCCTGCACCTGCTGCTGCTTTCAGTTACATGCCATGCTGATTATACAGCGTAGCTCAAATATTCTTGCACTGTGAATCCTGTACAAGAGTCATTGTCAGGAGAGAAATCGGGCACACAACAGTGCTGTATTTTTTATGCTCATTAATTTTTATCCATATAAAGATTTGTGTTTTAAAAGATTCTTTGAATCTAAATATATTGGATAAATAAGGTGGCTATTGAAGGGTGGTAACCGCTGTTTTGGTTAAACAGGTCTTTAAAGACTTATGAACACAGTTTGTGTGCTTGATTTTCACTCTCCAGGCTCCACAGCTTGTTGATTTATGGCCATATAAATATCCCTGCCATCCCCTGCCTGAGCATGTTCAGGTATTTTGCTCATAAATATGCACGCCCCAAATTAATAACGTCACAGAGAGAAATAAATAAGGCTATTTAGTTTACTGCGGGCAAAATTTCCCTCGAAATAAGTACTGTGAGTTGATTTCAAGCTTGATGACATTAGTTTTTCTACAGTGATTATAAATAACAGGTTCCTGTCCATTCCATCTCTTGTGTTCCGGGTTAAGGCTGCCACATTATTCAGGCCACTGCCCACATGCATTAAGAAATGGATAAATTACACATGCTAATTACCTTGGATGTTTCTCCATTTTAATGCATTCTTTTAATTAAAGTTGTGGATGAAATGTTATATATAGTGAACAAACAACCTTTAGTATGACTACAATATATACCTGTTATCTGATGTTTTTGATCACCTAGCAAAACAAAGAGACTTAAAATCTTCTATCTCAAATGATGTCGTGTCAGTAATGAATTCAAGCTTTCAAAGCTAGAATACTTTTTTCAGTTCCATTTAAATGTAAAGAAATTTAGATGAAAAATGCTTATCTCTTCATCAGATCATAGAGTTTATAACATATGGTGTAACTGTTCACTGTTCACATTTACTGTTGAAATGTCTTGAATTAAAAACTTGATGCAAATACAACTGAAGAAAGCCTTGAATTGCCTGATGTGTTTTTCTGTTATTTCACATATATGTCTGGACAGTAGAACTTGATGGCTTATTGAAATGCAGCAGAAAGACTGTCATTTGAAGAATTAAATTATTCAGTTCCCCATATCAGTATAAAGTTAATTGAGTAATTTATATTATTAAAATAAATGTATAGAAAATTAGCAGCTTTTTTATTTTGATGGACAAAACGTGTTTAAGTTCATGTTAAAAAGGCACAAGTAAGTGAAGATCTCTTGACATTTCTTGGTTCATAGCCTACAGTTCATAGATCATAGATTAATTTAATTTATGTGGGCTCAAAATATTTGGAAACTTGAGCCACACTTAGAAATGTAAACAAAAAAAAATTAATCTCAGAACTAACTCAAGTTAAATAAGCTGTTTTGTTTTACTATGATTATTTTGTTGTTAGCCAACTGGTCATGTATTTTTCATTGATGTGTGAAGTCAGTTCTCCTTAAGATGTGAGTAATCACAGGTATTTCATCACATCAACTATATATGGGCATGTTCCAGTAAAGTTTAGCAAACCAGAAAGTGTACAAATACTTTGTTTTAATTTTTGAAGTATCTATTTTGTGAAATGTTTTTTTCTTTTTCCCCAAAAGTGTTCTTGTGGTATTTTTCTTATGGCACTTCTTAAATGCCACTGATATTTTCTTAAATGCCAATGGCATATATGGCTTCTTTTTTATTATTATTAAATTCTCATTTTTTATTACATTATTATTTGTTTTTGTTGGTACAAAAAACTGTTAAAATACTTTTGGGGGGCCACTAGCTCTACACTATGTATTGTAGATTTATTCTATTAAGACACAAGTCAGTGGAGGAACACACGTTTCATTTCTAAAAAAAGAATTCAAAAGGTCCATGCGACTAATCACCGATTGAGGAAATAAGCAAAATATGCAACCTGGCCATGAGACCAGGTAGCAAATATGCAAAAGCAGCTTTGTTCATATTGCACGTCACTTACTATGAATAGGAATCAATCTCGATTCGGATTCATTGATTTTAATTAAGTTATGCAGGCATGCTTTTTTAATTTCATCAATTCGCCGCCGATTTGTGCAATACAAAACATTAAAGCAAAGTTCTTGCTTTCACCCTTACCCATTGGCCCAACAAGTGCATTTTGAGCTCAGGATTGTTTGTCTGTTCCTTTCAATTTACAAAAGCAATTTACAACATGTAATTAGGCTATTAATAGGCTATGTTGTTCATTATTATTAGGTCTATGGCTGTTTTTTTTTTTTTTACCGTGCATTGAAACAAATCTTTTCAACTGTAATATTAATAATACAGTATTGAGCAACTCTTTTATACAAATTAAAATGACAAATCTCAGGATATTTTAATGAGGTTTGATGACAAAGTTTATAATTTATTTCAGGTATAGGCTACGTGGAAAAGCAGCATGCTAGTAGGCTACATCAGAGCATGTCAACATTATACAGAAAACTTATATACAACAGCTTTGACTATTTCAACGAAGCGGATAAATTAGGCTGAGCATTGTTCACAGAACAACATCTTTCGATATTTGTAACGTCACACCAAAAGTGCAAATTTCCATTTTTATATTTCTACACTGCCACAAACGGAAACGCCGCAGCATCTGTGCTTATACATGCGATTCTCAGTCTTTTTCTGTTTCTTTAGCCTACTTAATGTCCATGAGACTTAATGGTTTCAAAAATTGACCAAAATCATTTTAAGTTACAAGTAAAATTATCTATATGGAGAATGGTCGTATTGTAATTCTGCTTAATGAACGTTACTGTCCAAAACTCTTTACGCCTGTTCTCACATTTTCATAGTCCGTTGTGCATTTTTCAATAGGACTCTTGACCTTTGATAATATGAGGTAGCCTAAATTCATGACAAATATGTAATAGACAAATTGAACTATAAGCAAACAGAATATTTAATTCCACTGTAATTTGAAATAGTCACTCTATCATTTCACATGGTTTCGGATAAGATGGTTTGTATACTGTCAATTTGTTTTTTTGTTTTTGTCTTGCCTTATGGTCGGTGCCAGTGAATCAGGGTGGATGTGTAAGGAAAGTTTGAAGTCCTTCTTAAAGTTTTAAGTGACCTCTTGACAGTGCACGGCGACCGAATGGAGCAGCGAGGTCGGGCTCGGTGTGGCGGGGCTGCTCTGGCTGGGAGACGTCGGGCTGAGGGACTGTGCAGAGCCGCAGAGGAACGCTGGAAGGTGCGCATGCAACGCCGGGATGGACGCGACCGAAGCTGGAGCGGGTTTGATTGGCACAGGGATCGCCGGTAAACTTTGCGCGCCATGACTCAGGGATTTGAGTGGTACTCCATAGGCAGTATACTCAGCATCTATCACATTACCGCTATACATGTGGGGCCATGCCGTGGTCAACTGATTGTGTATCTGATAACCCGAAGACATGGACTGCATGGTGGAGAAAGCCAGGCTTCCTGGCATTTTGTAATCTCTGGCAATGATGTTTTCGATGGCAAAGGGGTGTTTGAAAGTGGAGGGTTGAGACGCACTTAAGTTGTAGCTGGTCATCTGAGGTAGATGTGTCCCTAAAGCGATCATTCTGAGTTTTGCTTGTTGCTGGAGGTAATGCGCCGCGTCTGAGGGTTTTTGCAGGTGCTCGGAGGTGATCATCACTTTGAATCTCTTGCGGCGCCTCAAGAAGCTCCCGTTTTCAAACATGTCTCCGCAGTTGGGATGGAGAGCCCAGAAGCTGCCTTTGCCCGGCTGGTCCGGTCTCCGCGGGATCTTGATGAAGCAGTCGTTGAAGGAAAGGTTGTGGCGAAGAGAGTTCTGCCAGCGCTGTGTGTTTTCCCGATAATAAGGAAACCTGTCCATGATGAACTTGTAAATTTCGCTGAGCGGGAGCATCTTCTCCGGGCAACTCTGAATGGCCATAGCGGTGAGCGAAATATACGAATACGGCGGCTTCTGATCGCTGTACGTGTTTCTTCCAGGACAATTTAGAACGTCGGCGTGAGGAGGATCATTGCTACATATTTCATAACTATTTATTGTTAATTAATTTTTTTATAATTAATCAATTCTATTAGCCTACTTAATGACTTCTAACAGATGGAAATGCGTTTTATTGTAGGCTATTAATGTACGAATAAACAACATTAGAGGTTAGAGGTTAATTAAAGGAATTAATTTTATTCAGATCATCAATAAAATCGAAGAATATGTTTTTATGACATGTAAAAAAAAAATTTATTGCCATGCATATAGAGAGAGTTGTTTGTAATTTTTATACTATTGTATATTTTATTGTAAATCTTCACCAATAAATATAGGCTAGTAGTGTCCGGGATATACAGAATGTATAGTCTTGGAGAAGTGCTGGCATATGGAATGAGTGTGTGTAAACTGATGAGTCCTATAAGCACAGGAGGACTGTCATAATTGGTTTGAGGAGGGGTGACGTCAAGGGCCTTTGATTGGAGGATGAACTTATAAACAACGAAAAAGTCTTTATTGAAAATTTACGGACCCCAAATTTTTGAACTGTGTTTGAAGAAGCTCCTCCTTGAATTTGTACTTTATAAAAAATAATAGGCATTAATGTTTTGTTTGTTTGTTTGTTACCTAAGATCATCAGAGTAGCTTTCTTTAAAAAAAAAAAAAGGCCCCGTGTAGACCAAAATCTGGGATTTTTTATTAAATATTTGGATTTAAGATTTGTGTGCCTGCTGTCAGTGAGATCATAGATGCTTTGTCATTTAAAATGAAAGCACTGAGTTGTCAGTTGCCTTCAAGTACAGCTCCGAGTTATTGTAATTAGATTTTAAAGTGGATTATTGACCTCTCAGCCTCTTATTTTGTTCTCAAGAGTCACAGAACATACTCTCCATGGTGTTTGTTTCTGCCCTCTTGTTTATTAATGCTCAAGTGTGTATGTATGAATGCATCTATGCGCATACGTTACGCTCTCTGATAGGAGTCTGCTCTGAAGTGTGATGGCTGATGATGAGCATGTTTCATGCAAGGATGCAGCTCTTCCTCCTCTTAAGACGGCCATGCATTCCTGGTCCTGTTGCAGAAACATCTTCTCTCAGATGGTAATGAGACCAGAGGAAGTATTGCGCCACTGTGTGCACCCTCTCAAATGCAGTGGTAATGCGTGACCATGCAAAGGTTTTTCATTACAAAGAGCCTCGTCCTGAGTTTTGCCATTGAGACATTTCATTCTGTCATTTTTGGCAGATGCTATTGTTGTTTTTGTTAAACTAAAACTATTAAAAATTGATTTCATTAACTCAAATGAAGCTGAAATAAAATAAAATATAAATACTTAAACTAAAAATGTTGTTTTGAAAACTAACCGAAGTAAGTTTAAGTGCTAACATTTCTAAAATTATAATAAATTGAAATAGAAAAAGCTAAATATAATAAAATGACAAAAGCAAATAACAAATATTAAAATTAATTCAAATGAAAACTAAAAATATGAAAATAAAAGCTAATTCAAAATATAAATGCTAAGTAATAATGAAAAAATCTGACAAATCTGAAAAATATTTTGCCACATGATTTCATTTCATTAAATAATTAAAATCTTGATATTGGTCTCTTTTAAACTTTCTGTGTTTCAGCTATCTGAAACAACTATGAGGTTGCATATTCGTCCATATTACCCTTTTCCGTCTTCTTAGGTTTAAAATACTTTAAAATGTTTTAACAATTGGACATTTATTTAAAAACTAAATGAATTCATACAATATTGAGTGTAGTTTATCAAATATATTTGTATTGGGAAATTTCCTTTTTAAAATGTAATTTATTGCTGTGATGGCAAAGCTAAATTTGAAACAGAAATGAACAACGAAAAAGTCTTTATTGAAAATTTACGGACCCCAAATGTTTGAACTGTGTTTGAAGAAGCTCGTCCTTGATTTTGTACTTTATAAAAATAATAGGCCATTAATGTTTTGTTTGTTTGTTTGTTTGTTTTTTGACAGACCTAAGATCATCAGAGTAGCTTTCTTTAAAAAAAAAGGCCCTGTGTAGACCAAAATCTGGGATTTTTGATTAAATATTTGGATTTAAGATTTGTGTGCCTGCTGTAAGTGAGATCATAGATGCTTTGTCATTTAAAATGAAAGCACTGAGTTGTCAGTTGCCTTCAAGTACAGCTCAGAGTTATTGTAATTAGATTTTAAAGTGGATTATTGACCTCTCAGCCTCTTATTTTGTTCTCAAGAGTCACGCACATGATTTCATTTCATTAAATAATTAAAATCTTGATATTGGTCTCTTTTAAACTTTCTGTATTTCAGCTATCTGAAACAACTATGAGGTTGCATATTCGTCCATATTACCCTTTTCCGTCTTCTTAGGTTTAAAATACTTTAAAATGTTTTAACAATTGGACATTTATTTAAAAACTAAATGAATTCATACAATATTGAGTGTAGTTTATAAAATATATTTGTATTGGGAAATAGAGATACATTGTGCTGACTAGAAGCAGTTGTGAATGCAGTATAAAGTAAAGCAGCAATACAACAGTTCTTTAATTGTCACCCTCCCTTCTACTCAGAGGGCATCATGAATATTTAATAAATAATTAGCAACACCATTTTTCCTCAGGAGTCATCACAAGTCTAATTGCATTGTGAATTAAATGTTGAGCAACGTTATGGGTGGTTCCCGTATTCTGTGATGTCAGGAGAGTTCAAGCAGTATCACTCTGATCAAAGAGCTTTAATCAGGAGGCAAGTCTGTGTGAGGCTATAGCTAGCTCAGTAATATGCTAATGAGATGTCTCTGTCAGAAAACATGCTGGGAGGAGCTATTCTAATTAAGGAGATTCAGAGGAGCAGCCTTTTCACTTACACTTGCATATTCATTACAATAAATGCACTATGCAAATCGAATGTGGTAGTGTGGTAATGCCCTGTTAATTTATTCAAATTTATCAGATTTATTAGAACACTTGTAAAATGGACCACTCTAATTATGGCAATGTCTCAGCTAGACCACTTATCTTGATGTGCATTTGTGTCATTGTCCGAGATGAAAGCTTATGCTGTTTTTGGTATTTGATCAATAGTAAAGGTCATGTTCTGTATCATAATATAAATCTAAGTATTGTCCAAGTATTGTTCATTTTTTGTAATCATGGACATTGCTGAATAATAATTTTGTTCCAATTTTTCTTTAGGAAAAAAAGGTTTATCAGATTATTCAAATCTCACAATTATGCTTGTTTTGTCTTTAACTATAGAAAGCCTATCATACTGATATGCAAGATGCCTCAAAATTATCAGCATGATCAAAAGCCTTCTGTTGTCAATATGCCTTCTGTTGTCTGATTGATAGTTTATACTTTTTTAGCAAGTAAAATGCCTTAAAGGTACTAAAGTACAATTCTAAAAACATACCTCTTCTTTTTGATGTGAAAGCTTTGCTGATTTTTATAACGTATGTTTTATTTATTTATTTTTTGTTAGTAATATTTCAAGATGAACACTTAATGGACTGAAGCAACTGGTTTACTTTATTATCCATACAGAATTTTCTTTTAGAAAAAAATCATGTTAAAATGTGAGTATCAAATATGATACATCTAGCTTTTTCTGAATGTTTTTTTATTTTATGTCAGTCATCATTATTGCATTGCATTATATGTTTTGCCTTTCACAATAAAAACTGCAGAGCTTATATAAGCATTTAAATATCATCTTACTAAGACATATTGGAAGTGACAACTTTATGCATTTTATGTAAGTTGTCTTTTATACTATTATGTAGATCTCATTGATTTAAAGGTACTAAAGTATAATTCTAAAAACATACCTCTTCTTTTTGATGTGAAAGCTTTACTGATTTTTATAACGTATGTTTTATTTATTTATTTTTTGTTAGTAATATTTCAAGATGAACACTTAATGGACTGAAGCAACTGGTTTACTTGATTATCCCTACAGAATTTTCTTTTAGAAAAAAATCATGTTAAAATGTGAGTATCAAATATGATACATCTAGCTTTTTCTGAATGTTTTTTTATTTTATGTCAGTCATCATTATTGCATTGCATTATATGTTTTGCCTTTCACAATAAAAACTGCAGAGCTTATATAAGCATTTAAATATCATCTTACTAAGACATATTGGAAGTGACAACTTTATGCATTTTATGTAAGTTGTCTTTTATACTGTTATGTAGATCTCATTGATTTATATTACAAGCTATCAGAATTTCATCTTAATGTTTGGCCATATAAATATCAGCAGCTGCAAAAAATAATATTTTTTGTTCAGTTTGGGCCTCTGAATAACATTGAGGTTTGACATATTGACATATTCTCCTGTATCATACTATATGAGCCATTAAAAGTCTGATGTATCATGATACTTAATAATAAACACAGTTTTAAAAATTTTAAGTTTGATGAACTTCCATTTCCAAACATATATTTTTTTCGGAATATTATTTCATCTGCTTTATGGGGTTAACGATTTAAGTTTCAGGGGAAAAAATATTTTAATTGCTACTCTTCTCCTCAAGATGCTAACTCCAAATTGTGGAAGTGAACTGCCACAAAAGGCATATTAAAAATAGAAAATATTTTTTGTTTTTTAATTTTTTGGATCGAAATGAAATGATAACCATCTAATGTTATCGAGCATCGGTGAGTGGTTAATACAAGATGTTGTGTATTCATATCCCACCTCCACTGATGACCCAAGCTTTCTTAAGTACATATATAAATACACAGTGCTATCTCTTTATCATTGCCACACACACACACACACACACCCCCCTCCTCATCCCAGAGAAACATATCTGTCCCCTTGCTAAGGCTCTGACATGAGTGGCACAGCATGACCTCTATATCCTTCCTATTAATTATCCAAACCTGGACCTCTTTAAGGGTTAATCTTCAGGGTCTGAAAGAAAATATAATTACAAACCTGATGTTTGCAGAGCCAAAAAAACCTTAAACTTCACATTCATCAGAAATAACTGTAACCGCATCACACCTGTTACAAAAGCACGTATAAGCACATAACAGACGTCGTCCATTCTTTATCATAATCATGCTGTCTGCATGAAATTGCTTGAGCGACAGAACCAGTCCACAGCCGAGGCACAGAGCCGAGGTGATGGATACGCCGCCGTGAACAGGAATAAGTGCGTTTGTGTGCTCGATAAAGACGTGAGAGTGGCGAGAGGTGGAAGCTGAAGCTGATTAAAGGAGGGAGAAGCTCCACTCCATCTTGTCTTGTGTCTTGCGTGTCTTATGATATCTTATCATTAGTTCCCCTGACAGTGATTTAGCAGCTGCTATTCTCTCTCATTGCCAGGGAACAGTGTTTAAAAGTAACCTTCTTTTAATAATCGTGGCCATTTATCACCTCCGCTGCTGTCAGAGTGGAGTGGAGGTAGTCAGACAGTAGTTTTGTGGAGTGTGTGTGATTTTCAGGCCTAAAGGTCTCAGAGGGCTCAGTCCAGATAGAGGAGTCATCAGGCCTTCAGGAGAATATCTGAAGCTAAAGAGTCCAGACATCATCAGCTGAATTAGAGTGGCTTATCGGACACTTTTCTACCTGATCCACCTAAAGACATCCAGGCATCTGTATCTTATAGCGCAGGGCTGTTCAGTCTGACATGTGGGGGACACAGTTGTGTATTTTAACATTTAAGAAATGAAAACTTTTTTCATTAAGTATACGTTAAAGGCACAATATATAAGATTTTTTTATTAAAATATCCAAAAACCACTAGAACAGTGTTATATATTTTGCTGACTTGTGTACTTACATTATCCCAAATGTTTCGAAGAATGTTTAAATCCAGAGAAATAAGTAATTTTAACTAGTGACACGGAGCGTGTCTATAGTGTCATTGTGTCGCCTGCCAATGACGTCATGACCCCTCGATTTCCGGTTTTGTTTTGTAGAAAACATGGAAACACCAAAAACGCTTTAATATGTTGTGCGTTTTGTTAGACAGGTGACGACCGCACAGAGTAGCATTATAACAGAACTTTCAAACGTATCTAGTATGATAAAACCCCCACATGTGTCGCGCTCGTTCAG